ACATCCTCTTATTCTCATAACCTCTATTTTTCATTCATTACACCTTTTATTCAATGTATTCATTATTCATTTTTTCATACCCAAACAAACTCCAGGCTATAACTTAGAGGATTTTAAAATTTCTATATTAACTTTAATGTTACCAAACAAGCATTTTCGTTGGCCAAAAAAGGCCAGACATAAAACCAGCAATTATAGCAACTGCATTCAGGTAAACACCCACAAGAATAGTTCTTCAACATAGCAAGGCAAAGGAATTCAATCTAATGAACCTAGACAAGCACTACAAATATGCTTCATTGGACAATTACAAGTTTTCCATATAGGAATCTGAACAATTAAAATGAAAAAAAGGAAGCATATTCCACCATTGTCCTTTCATCAAGTTCAAAAGATATGACCTTAAAGATTAATTTTATTATTTATTTATTAGATAATGATTTAACTCCATTATTGGGTAGTGATCTTAAAGCAAATAAGTGGATGTAGTGTATGAAATACGTACATTGAACAGGATCTAATTAAAGAGCTCCATGTAAGTCTGTCATTCAATAATTAAAAGGAATTCTATTACAATTTATTAATTATCCTTAGATTTGGGAGGTCAATATAATTTATTTAGGTAATGTTGTATTTAAAGGTTCTATTTTGGTATATTGGGGATTTTTTTTTTAAATTGAGAAAATGGGGATTTGAATCTTGCTCTTTAGGCGAGGAGATTATACACAAACTAATAAGCCAAATGCTCAAGTACCCCTGGTATGTTGGGTTATGTACATGCTAAATAAATTATATTGAATGCTCCATAAAAGATTCATCATTCTGTATTGAGAAAGATATTCAAGCAATTTTCATATAATCGTTGAACTCATGAAATTCGGTAGGTATGTTTCTAAAAGTTGTTTTAGAATTGTGTTATTTATACTAATATTATATATATTATATTAGTGTTTTTGAAGAAAAATATTTTTCAAAGTCTAACACAAATGAAAATCATGAATTGATATTACATGGGTTGAATGTGACAATGAAAATTATTTATCCATAAAACCCATGAGGAATATGGTATGGTAAAATGATTGATTTGTAAATATTGTAATGGAAGAGACCTCATTGCTAATTTTTTTCTTTGCAGAAGTCAGTTGCAATATTGATGGACATTATTGCAATTAATGGATAAATAAAATTTCTTAATTAATTTAAGAAACTAAATGATAATATTAGATTAAATAAAATTTCAAATAAAATATAAGTCATGAGATGACATGGATTTGAGTCCATAGGGATCTCTCATATATTCTTCTTTTGGATTTATATATAAGTCTCATTGGACTATGATTGGGTTTAATGGATCCAAGTCCATTAGTGCATCTATAAAAGCAAAGGTTGATTCTTAGTTGGCCATTGGAATTAATTAGAAACATTTTTTAAAAAACTTAAAACCTTAAAAAAAATAAGAAGCGTGAATCCTTTTGGAGGCAAGACAATTGAATCACTTTTAAGGTATCTATATCTTTAATCTATAATTTAATCCCTTTTTGAAAGCAAAGTACTTGAATTATTTTTGAAGTACGTAAATCTTGATCTATAATTTTCTCATGGTAGATCTCTAACGTTTATATTAGATGACAATTGTATTATTGAATTATAAATAAAATTTCACATTTATCGTACACAAAGAAACTAACAAATACCATATACTATTTCAAGCTTCACAAGATATCCCTAGTAAAGTTTATGCTATCAATAGAAAATAAAAATATAGAGACAATTTGAGGTAGATATATATCACTTGCTTATATGAAGACAATGAAGAACCACACTGAGCAAATGACACCATTAAGATTCTCAACTTTCATTCAACACGCAGCGAAGCTCACTATTTCTATAAATTCTAATCTCTTTCCCCATCCTTTCAAGTAATTCCTTAGATCCAATTACTGACATCCATAAATAACCAAACTTTCCTCATAAAAAATATCCATCTTCCTCAAATATCACCTCATCCTCACTATTTTCCAACAAATAATCTTCATCATCAACTTCCTCAATCTCCCACTCATCCTTATCACCTTCCTCCCTTTTAGAATATAAAAATGAGGAATGATAAAAGCAAGGAATGACAAAAAATAAACTTGCAAAGAATTGACTTGCCTAGTGATGTGGTATGCACACATATTTATACCAAATACAAGAAAAATATATAAAATGGACTTGAGTGAGACAATGCTTGTATCGTGACAACTTGTTGATGGAGTAAGCAATGTCTGGTAATGTAAAAGACAAATATTGAAGTGATCCAATGAGTTTTCTATAATCTGTTGTATTAGTAGGACTTGATCCATCTTTGATTTGCAATTTTATGTAGGTGGCTGTTGGTGTGGTGACAGTTTTTGCATTCTCCATGTCAAACTTGGCTAGGATATCTCAAATATACTTGTTGTTGTGACATAAATAGATCATTGGAGGTGGATATCACTTCAATCCCAAGAAAGTAATTAAGATATCCAAGATCCTTTAAATAAAATATGTTGGCCAAATGCTGAAGGAATTGATGTAAAACTTTTGTATTGTTTCCTATCACTAATAGATCATTCATATTGTTAGCATTAAATATTTTATTAATTACATAAAATAAAATAAAAACTAGATTAGAACTATTCTAATTTCACAACTTCTCTTTTGGTTTATATAAGTTTATATAAACAAAGTTATATATATTATAATTAATAATTTTATAAGTTATAATTTTATAATGTTAACATAAAGTAGAAAGTAAATATGTTTATATTTAAAGTATATATATATATAATATTTGAGTATATATATAATAGTAGTTATATTTCTTATAAATTAACACAATATATAAACTATATATATTAAAAGACATTACAAGTTAATTAATAATAATAGTTTCATGAATTAATTTAATTAATTATATGGATTTGTTCTTAATTTCATGAAATTAAAAAAAAACACTTAGATTCCAAAACTATTCTAATCTTAAACGCTTTCTTTAAGTATATATATTATAAGATTATATAAACAATGGTATATACATTATAATTAATAATTTTATAAGTCATAATTTTTGTAATGTTAACATAAAATAGAAAGTAAATATATTTATATTAATAGTATATATATAGTAGTAATTATATTCTTTTATAATATGGTACAATATTCATATTATTTAAACATAATTAACAATAATCATACTTTTCATATATTTGTTAGTTTTCAATAAAAAGAATTACTTGTAAAGTTGGTAAAAATTGTAAATTTTTAATTTAGTTATTAAAATAATAATAAAATATTTATAAATAGTAATCAAGTTCGGGTAATGGGTACCCAAGGGGTGGTACCCGAACCCATCTCAAACTGGATTAAAGGGTACCCTAAACCTATATAATCGAGTAGGGCATCCGCGGGTACCCATTTCCATCCCTAATATATAGATGTTCGTTAAAAAACAAGTTCACTGAACATAACCTGTTATCCATTTGGTATTTCACTCAAGTGTTTATGGAATATGTTCTTATGTTATAGTTGTGCAATTAGTCCTTAGACTTGTGATACCAGGTCATCTTGTATGGGAAATGACATACTTTGATTTTTTCTTTACAAGTTTGGAAGCTACCAAATGTCTAAATAGGGTATTTTTGGGTATGCCATGAAACATGCGAAGGTGAATGAGTAATCTAGAGAGGATTAATCACTCTAAGTGATATGGAGGGATGTATCTTACTTGTTCTCAATTTTTGATCAACTTGTATAAAGTCTTTGGCCAAAGTATGATGAATTTGAGAAAAACTAGTTTTCTAAATTCATACGGTTAGTCATGAATTATGAAAACTAATATGGAATGTCATAAGTAAATACCAAGCCATGCTTAATGACATATTTGGGATATTTGATGAAAGGAACATATTGCACTGAGAGGTTTGCCATTGAAGGGCTTTGTCAAATTTTTTAATTAACTCTATAACATTTTGGTGGTCATGATGTATTGCTAGATACCACTCATGATCTATAAATTTAAATCAATAATCAAATTGATATTTGATTAGAATTTATATTTGTTGCCAATATGTTAAAAGGCTAATGGGTCACACACATTAAGTGAGATGATTGGGATTAAATAAGAATAATTAATTAAGTTGGACTTAATTAGAATAGACCAAAATAAAGTGAGAAATTAATTAAGTTCATAGAGACTTAATTAAATTAAAATACAATTATTGTATTTAAGGTTACAACTTAGTTTAGTTATCTAAATATATTATATTAGCAAATTAAAACTGTAAGCCTCTTGCTTCTTCTCAACCATTTCATAAAACAAGAAAAGAAAAATAATTTTCTTTGTCTGAAAAAATAAGATTCGACAAGGATTTTTGATCTTTTTGTTTAAGAAACAAAACTTGCTAGCACAAATAAAAAGCCTACCTTTGATAAAATCTTATTCAGTCACTGTATGGATTTCTGTTAGAAGCCAAACACTTGGGTAATTGAAGATTTGACAAATCTTAAAAGTCAAAAAGTAAAGATTTTGATTTAATTGGCTTTTAATTATAATATCTAAAGTAAAGTATGTAACTCTTAAACTTATGAATGTTCATAATTAATTTAAAAGTTGCATGAAAAACATAAATATTGATTATGTAAGATTTGACTGTTTTTCTGATTAAATATTATTTTATTTTTCTACTACGTTATATTTTTAATTTCTTGATTAGTTTCATATTTGAGCATGATGTCGAATCTCAGTAGAGATTACTATGCAACCTTGAAAATGGATACCAAAATAGGGCAAGGCCATCAACACCATTTGTGCAATTTTTATTGAACAGGACATTCTCCAAAATACTCTAGTTTGACACTTGCTCCTTTTTAAAAGACGACATAACACCCAAAATGTTTTTCTACATAGCACTTCGCAAACCTCTCAAGGAATAATTTTTCTCAAGTGCTTATTCTATCAAGAGAAAACCTTATTACATATGCAGGCTTCTGTTCTACGGTTGTTTACTTCGAACTTTATTACCATTAGCCTCAAAAAAGAAAATAAATAAAATATGCATTAGTTTGTCTTGTACAATATGATATCCTAAATCAAACCTTCCTGATCTGTAAGATGAATTGCCGCCTTCATCATCTCTTTTGCAAATTCTCCAAGCGAGGATAATTTGAGTTGGGGTCTTGGATTTGGAGTCCCTTGTATTTGCATGATACTATCCTTGCTTCTTTTCTTACTTGGAATCCCAACATATCGCTATAAAATCAAAAGACATGAGAAGAAACCATTTGTAAGGATTGGTCACGCGTTTGTTGCAGCAATTAGGAACTGGTGTGCTACTACTCCAGTTGTAGCTATTGAGGAGGAAGTTTCCGAAACTGATTGTCTCCATTCTCCAAGATGTTTGAGTCTTTTTATGTGAAAATTCCTGAATAAAGCTCTCTCAAGAAACGATTTGACTGGTTGTGGAAATTTATGTAGTGCTGATGACATTGAAGAAGCAAAAGCAGCGGTAAGGCTGATCCCAATATGGACATCAAGCTTGGTATTCGCCATTGCGATTGCGCAATGCCCAACCTTTTTTACCGTGCAAGGAAAGACAATGGACAGAACACTTGTGCCAGGCTTTAAAATACCAGCAGCCTCACTTCAAGCCTTGACCAGCATCACAATTCTCGTCTTCATCCCCATCTATGATCGCATCTTTGTTCCTATAGCAAGAACCTTCACCGGGGAACCTACTGGCATCACGATGCTGCAAAGGATTGGAACTGGAATATTCCTATCTGCGATTTGCATGTTAGTTGCTGCTGTCATCGAGACAGAAAGGCTTGAAATTGCTAAAATTAATGGGCTGGTTGATGAACCAAATGCGACAGTTCCAAAGAGCATGTGGTGGCTAGTCCCTCAATATATGTTGCTTGGAGCTGCGGATGTATTCACTAGAGTTGGCCTGCAGGAATTTTTCTATGATCAGATATCAAACGAACTGAAGAGCGTAGGTGTGGCCCTGTATCTAAGTGTGTTTGGGGTAGGAAATTTCCTGAGTAGCATACTTGTCTCCATTGTTGAGAAAGCAATAGAAGGTGGGTCGTTGTCTGATAATCTAAATCAGGGCCATCTTAATTACTTCTACTGTTTACTGGTCGGAGTCGTTGTAGTTGGACTGGGGCCATTCCCAATTATTGCCAAATCTTGCTTTTATGGCAGCAGCAGAAACTCAACTTAAATGGGATCATTGTTGCCTCCTTGCTACAATTATTTACGACTGAAGCAAAACTATTTGGACAAAAATAGTAGGGTATAGTACATCTCTTGATATTTATTACTCCTATTTGCAAGTTTCTGACACAAGTATATGAAAACTTGCAATAACTGATAGCAACATGAAAGCCTTTTAAGTGCATCAACTTCAACTTCAATTTCTAGTCCTTGACTTCTCATATACAAAAAAAAAAAAAAACCCAGAAATCTCTTTAAATGTATAAATTGATAGATTACCATTCTTTAAACACCAAATCGACAGTTTTGCTTTGAAAAAAACCTAGATTTAATATATTGTAATTTAGGGTTTCGTTGTGGGTTTTTCCAAACATGAGATGTACTTTGTTTAAATCTAAAATTATTTAAGTTATTTGATCAGACCATTATCAAAAAAAAAATTAAAATTATAAACATTTTTTTTTTAAAATGAAATAATATATAATAATAGTATTATTATTAAAAAATAATAATAATATATAATAATCCTATCGACCACTCAACCGCCCAACAAGCTGTACTACCTTACTTTAAAATATGATTATAATAGTATTATTAAAAAAATTAAGAAGCTTGGCATAGAGCGGCAGTATATAATTATATTCTTTAATTAATAATTATTCCTTAAAGACTTTGCAGTATTTCACCCAGAAAAAAGGTCGATTCTACCCCTGAAGATACCATCCTAATTATAATAGTCCAAGGGGTAGCCATCAGCAACACAGAACTTAGTTGACCCATAATGAATGAAAAACAAAAAACAATCATGATAAAGTTATATAAGGCTTGGTCGCTGGCCGGTGGTGTGGCGTGTGCGAACAAGCCAAAAATGGCGAATTCCAATCTTCCCGGTGGCCAATCGCCAGTCGACGCTGGAATCCCACTTTTACAATACAGCAGCAGCAGCGTTGTTACTGGCTGTGTCGACTACAATGGCAGCCCCGTCTTCAGGTCCAACTCCGGCGGATGGAAATCTGCATCTTTCATCATAGCTGTGGAAGTTGCTGAGAGGTTTGCGTACTATGGAATTGCTAACAATTTAATAACCTATCTGACAGGGCCACTTGGCCTGTCCATGGCTGTTGCTGCCGAGAACGTGAACGCCTGGTCTGGGGTCGGTTCGCTGCTGCCACTTTTAGGTGCATTTGTAGCTGATTCTTTTCTTGGGCGTTATCGGACAATTCTTCTTTCTTCTGCAATCTATATTTTGGTAATTCATTTCTTGGCTCTGGGTTCTGTTTTTTTCTTCTTACTTGCTACTATTTGATTGCAATTCGGGGTTGAAAAGTCAAAAATGTTGAAGAAACGGTTTAAACATAAATTCATTTCTTAATCTAGACCAATAGAAAGAATATATCAGTACAAAGAAGGATGTTGATTACTCTAGTTTAGTACTTATTAGTGTGATTTTATTTTTTTAATTACTTCATCACCAGAAATGCCCTGAAAACATGTTTACTTTGACTAAATGAAAATTATCATGATCAGCTGATCACTCTTAGCTTTGTGTTGAAGTGTTACAGGGACTCGGATTGTTGACCCTATCTGCCATGCTTCCTTCTCTCAGCACTTCAGGATGTCTAAACATCAATTCCAACACATTATGTTCTACTCAAAATCAAGTAGTCTTATTCTTTTTCGCACTTTACCTAGTTGCAGTTGGGCAGGGTGGGCACAAGCCGTGCGTTCAGGCTTTTGGTGCAGATCAGTTTGATAAACAAGACCCCGAGGAGTCCAAGGCCAGAAGCTCCTTCTTCAACTGGTGGTTTTTTGGTTTATCTGCTGGTTTCTTAATAATGATCCCTGCTTTATTCTATATCCAGGACAACCTTAATTGGGTTCTTGGATTTGGAATCCCCTGCATTTCTATGTTGGTTGCACTAGTCATATTCTTGCTTGGAACTAAGACTTACCGATATAGTGACAAAAGGGATGAGAAAAGCCCATTCATGAGAATTGGCCGGGTTTTTGTTCTGGCAGCTAAGAATTGGCAAGCTACTTCATCAGCAATGGGTGATGAAGAGGAAGAAGCTAGTGGAACCCTGCTTCACCAAAGTTCCAAGCAATTCAAGTAAGACATTTCTTTTGCATAATTTCCCCACCTACTTGCTGTATTTAAGAAAGCAATATATCATCCTATGATGACCTCAAAAAACGTTTTCGGTTTATTTATGGTTGAAGAATTTCTGAAACATTGCAATGCGGATCCTCTTCTGCTGTGGCAGATTCCTCAATAAAGCCTTGATTGCAACGGATGGTTCGAAGGACTATGGGAATGTTTGTAGCATTGGTGATGTTGAAGAAGCAAAGGCAGTGCTGAGGCTTGTTCCCATATGGGCTGCAAGCTTGGTATATGCTATTGTATTTGCTCAGTCCCCAACTTTCTTTACCAAGCAAGGGGAGACTATGGACCGAACAATTACACCAAACTTCAGTATACCAGCTGCTTCTCTCCAATGCTTCAGCAGCCTCGGCATCGTCCTCTCAGTTCCCATCTATGACCGCATATTTGTTCCTCTAGCAAGAGCTTTGACTAGGAACCCTGCTGGAATTACAATGCTTCAGAGAATTGGAACCGGGATTCTCTTATCTGCTATATCAATGGTAATTTCAGCGCTAGTTGAGATGCAGAGATTAAAAACTGCTCGAGAATATGGGCTAGTAGATAAGCCAAAGGCAATGGTTCCAATGAGTGTTTGGTGGTTGGTTCCTCAGTATGCCCTACTTGGTGTGTCTGATGTGTTCACCATGGTTGGTCTTCAAGAGTTTTTCTATGATCAAGTTCCAGATGAACTAAGGAGTGTGGGCCTTTCACTTTACCTGGGTATCTTTGGTGTTGGAAGCTTCTTGAGCAGCCTGCTTGTCTCCACCATTGAGAAAGCAACTGGTGGGAATGGCCGAGATAGCTGGTTTGCAGATAATCTCAACAGGGCACATCTGGATTACTTTTATTGGCTACTTGCAGGACTCAGTGCCGTACAATTGGCTGCTTACTTGTATTTTGCAAAATGCTACATCTATAACAGGACAAGCACATTACGATGGCGTTTGGAACGATAGAAGTGAGAGTACTTTCTTTATAATGTGCTTAATTAAATTAAATTATAATATTTGTTTTGTAATAGATCACTGTAATGTAAGATTGCAATACAATCATATTACAGTTACAACCAAAGGATGTAATGTGATTGCAATTCAAAATCAATACAATCACATTATATTACATTGTTTTGCAATAATTTATCACTGCTTATTATCACTGCATTCATAACCTAATAAAGCCAAGGTTTTGTGGTTTAATTGCTCACACTCCATGAAACTTGTCTAATATTATTTTTTTTTAATTTTTTGAATGCTTTTAATCTTGTTTTGGTTTTTTTTTTTTTTGCATTTTTCTTTTTGGCTTTCTAATTTTTATTATTTTCAGATTTTTTTAATTACAATAAATTATTTAACAAAATAAGAATGATGTGTCAATTGATGGAATAAGTTATATGTGTAAATTGGTAGATGGAAAAGTAGTTTGAATAACTAATTACAATTTCTCTTATAAATATCAAATCATCAATTTCACTTTAAAAATATTTAGGTTTAATATATTATAATTTAGGTTTTCACCGTGAGTTTTTTTCGAAAACATAAATGTAATTCATTTAAATCTCAAAATATATAAATTATTTAATCAAATGTATGACTAATTTTTAAAAAAAAAATCAATTTACAATCATTATTTAAAAAAGTAAAAAAAAAAGACAAAATAAAAAATAAATAAGAAAAAAAATAGAATAATTAAATAAAGAATGTTTATAATTAAATAGAAAAAAAACTTAATTTTCATGAACCTACCACTCATCCTATTATATTAAACATATGATTTATAATATTGTTTTTTTTTTTGAAATTATGAAAAAAAGATTTAAATTTTATTTTTTAAAATAAAAAAATTATGTATTTATTAATAAATCAAATATTTAAATTTAAATTATAATATTAGTATACATTGAGAGGATGACAAAATGGACGTAATCACCGAATTATTATTAAATCTTTCCTTATCCTTTTTTTTCTTTATGTTATTTTCTTTGTCTTGTTCTTCTGTCCGCCATTTTCCTTCTACTTGCGCCAAAATATCTTTGTGGCTTGATCTAATCACACTCTCTGTCTCATCCCCCACTCGCTCGCCTCAGTTTCTTTCCTTCCTTTGATCTGCTGCCACCACTGATTCTGCCTTCGGTGGTCGCCCAGCCCTTCCCACTGCCGCATCCCCACCTCACTCTTCTTCTCCGATTCTCTGTTTTTCCCTTCTACCCGTTCCCTCCCTCCAAAAGACTATCGACCTCTCAAAATACCCAACTAGCTACAATACCTTACTTTAATATATAATAATAATATTATTACTAAAATAATTGAAAAGCTTGGTATAGAGCAGCAGTAATGCAATGCTAAAGTTAGTTATGGCTTGTAACTGGGATGGACGATTATTCTATTGAGCCACTCCAATGACAACTAACAAACTGCTCTATGTCTCTTTGTAACGGGGAGTTGGAAGTGCGGACGCTTGTTTTTACCGCCAAAGCTTATGTCAATCTCCGTTCTCTCCGGCGCCGAAACTCCACTCTTAGAGCAAGACATCGTAGACGGCTGCGTTGGTTGCACTGGCCGCCCTGTCTCCAGGGCCAAGTCCGGCGGCTGGAGGTCCGCGTCTTTTATCATTGGTGCGTTTTCCACTCAATCAACCTATTCTAATCACTCACGAAATTGTAAATGAATCAAATATGTGTATATACCTTCCAAAATTTGTGCAGGCGTCGAAGTTGCTGAGAGGTTTGCGTATTTCGGAATCGAGTCCAACCTCATCAGTTACTTAACGGGACCTCTGGGCCAGTCCACCGCCGCTGCAGCAGAGCAAGTCAACGCTTGGTCTGGAACGGCAATGCTTTTGCCACTCTTGGGGGGATTCGTTGCTGATTCTTTCCTCGGCCGGTACCGCACCATTATTGTCGCTTCTCTGCTTTACGTATTGGTAATTTATTCAAAATTCCTTTCCATTTTTTTTCAAATTTCAACCAGAAATTTGATAGGATGAAAAGGTTTAGAATGATGAAGGAAAAGCTGAAAGGGTATGTGCATATAAGAAGCAAGTAAATAGAGCTCCTCTATTCCGAATTTGGATTCTCTGAGAACCCTGAAGAAATTGCTAAACAGAAATACCCACCTACAGTTAACATTCATATACATTTAACCATACACACTGCTTGTTCCATTGGAATGTTTTGAGCAGGGTAGGTTGTGTAACTTGTTCTTTTGTATTATAAAATACATTTTATCCATCTTAGCAAAGGAAAATGTGAATTTTATGCTTGAGTTCAGAGGTGTTGCCTCAAGTTCTCTTAAACTCTTTAGTCATAATAAATGAGCTAACCCAATGGCAAACTAGTGAGGTTGCTTGTTAGTATTGCTTAAACAGGAATTTTGAGAATCAATTCAAGCTTAAGACAAGCTTAAGCAAATATAAAACTTTATCTACATGTACTGGAGCAAATCCGTTGCTATAGCAGAGTTCCAGCTTTTGACAAATAAAAATTCAGTAAAGGCTGGAGATTTGAATAAGTGGTCAGGTTTCATTTATTTATTTTATTATTTTTATTAATTGTGGGAATACTATCTGAAGTTTTTTTTTTTTCTTTTTGGAATAATTTACAGGGGCTAAGCTTGTTGACTTTCACAGCCACTCTTCCTTCTGTCAATCCTTCTGGCTGCCAAAATACTGATAACTTTGCATTATGCTCCTCTCAGTTTCAAGTGATACTATTCTTCTTCGCACTCTTTCTGGTAGCACTCGGACAAGGTGGACAAATTCCATGTGTTCAAGCTTTTGGTGCAGATCAATTTGATACTCAAGACCCAGAGGAGTGCAAAGCCAAGAGTTCATTCTTTAATTGGTGGTTTTTTTGTTTGTGTACTGCCATGTTTATAACACGTTGGGTTTTAAACTACATCCAAGACAATCTTAGTTGGGTTCTTGGATTTGGGATTCCCTGTGTTATAATGGTTGTTGCACTGGTTGTTTTCTTGTGTGGGACAACGGCTTATCGTTTTAGTGTCAAAGGTGACAAGAAAAATCCGTTTGTGAGAATTGGTGAGGTGTTCATTTTAGCAGCTAGGAATTGGAATAAAGCATCTTCGGCAATAGCTGCAGAAGAAGAAGTGCACGGAAATCTGCCAACTGAAAGTTCCAAGCAATTCAAGTAAGTATAAAAGTTTCTCTTCATTACTTTAACGAATGTCAAAAGAACAATAATATATGATGCCTTATTAAAGCTTACATGAGGGTAACAAATTGATATTAGTGGAAAATGATTCATAATGATCTCTAATTGTTTTATGTAGCATCTGAAATAGGTTTGATTTATGTCTAGCATCATTTAACCAAGGCAATCTTCCTTGGCACATTGTTATGTGGATGTTTGGATCTTGTAAAATAATATGTTGTTTGTATTAAGTATTCACTGTACTTTCTTTGTTCCATTGAAACATGTACGGATTCTTGTTTATACATGTACAGACATGAACTGTTTCCCTTTATCATTCCAGGCTGAGCTATTCTACTATGACCTGTTATTACCAGGAAGCTCTTGCTGTTTTCTTTTCTTCTTCCACAATATTGTGAATGTTTCAACTTGAACTTGGCTGAAATTATGAAAATAATCTTCTTAGTTTCTAGTTTTGTTTTCCATACCAAAATATCTGTAACATGGCAATTTTTTATTCTTATGTGGTAGGTTCCTCAACAAAGCCTTGCTTTCTCCAGATGGTTTGAAGGAACATGGACAGACATGTAGCATCAGAGAGGTTGAAGAAGCAAAGGCTGTTCTGAGGCTTGTTCCTATATGGTTTGCAAGCTTGGTTTATGCTGTTGTCTTTGCACAATCCTCGACTTTCTTTGTCAAGCAAGGAGCTACTATGAACAGATCAATAACAGCAGAGTTTAAAATATCATCTGCTTCGCTGCTATCATTTGCTAGCCTTGCAAGTATTCTCTTCATTCCTATATATGACCGCATCTTTGTTCCTTTGACAAGAGGCTTTACTAGGAAACCGGCTGGAATTACAATGCTTCAGAGAATTGGAATCGGGATGCTTTTATCTGCTATATCTATTGTAATTGCTGCCTTAGTTGAGATGCAGAGGCTTAAGACTGCTCAAAAACACGGTTTGGTAGACAGGCCAGATGCCATGGTTCCTATGAGTGTGTGGTGGCTGGTTCCTTCTTATGTTCTGTTTGGATTGTCTGACGTGTTCACCATGGTCGGTCTTCAAGAATTTTTTTATGATCAGGTCCCAAACGAATTAAGGAGTGTTGGACTTTCACTCTACCTTAGCATCTTTGGGGTTGGAAGCTTCTTGAGTAGCTTTCTCATCTCAGCCATTGAGAATGCAACTGGTGGGAATGGTCAAGATAGCTGGTTTGCAGATAATCTAAATCGGGCACATCTTGATTACTTTTATTGGCTACTTGCTGCACTCAGTGCCATCCAATTGGCTCTCTACTTGTATTTTACAAAATCTTATATTTATAACAAGGGACAAAGATAAATCTTCATTATTGCATTTATCTACTTGTAATTTATCAAGTCCTTTATTAACATCAATAACTACATCCTAAGTCATTTCTATGATGACAAACTCCTGTATTTTGTATCCTCACAACAACTTCACTACTTGTTTAGTGTACTTTATTAAGTGAAAGAGAAAAGATCTTGCATCCATCAAAGCTGCTTCCTTATGTACCGTTTGCTGCAAACTAAATTCCCATCTGCATGATAGTTTCTTAGTTTTGAAAATTGTTGATATCATGTAGAATAAGATATTGGTGGAGCTATCCAAAGGTTGGGCTGCTTATAATTCCAGCTCACTTGAACTAGGAATTGGAGAACATCATTTTCAGCAATAGCTATGGAAGAAGAAGCTCATGGGACTCTGCCATCAGAAAGCTCCAAGCTAGTCAAGTAAGTGAAATGTTTTTTTTTTTTTTAATTTTATTTCACATATGGAAGAGCAAATTAGGACCGTTAAAAAGGATACAGAGAGCTTTAATAAAGAACACTCATACTTACTGTCTTACAAAAGCTTTCCTCAAGGAAAATTATTCATGCTGCTTGCTGTTTGTTTCTTCTTTTATAAAATCTGAAATAAGTTTGATATATGTTTCTACTGTAATCGAATGAAGCAGCACTTTAAAATATGGATGTCAGGACCCTGCTAAACAATGTTTTGTGTTGTTCTGATAGGCCATTCCCTGTTCTTGTTCAGTTTAATGAAGCAACTATAAATCTTGCTTATTAATGTAGTATCCCCCTTTTATCATGCCACTATCTTTTTCTTTGGGTTGTGAAAACAATCTTCTCAGTTTTATTTTCCATACCAGAACATCTCTAGAAAGGTTTGCAGCATCAGAGAGGTTGAAGAAGCAAAGGCTGTTTTAAGGCTAGTTTCAGTGTGGGCTACAAGCTTGGTTTATGCTGTTGTCCTTGCACAATCCTCGACTTCCTTCACCAAACAAGGAGCTACCATGGACAGATCAATTTCACCAAGGTTT